CCTCACATCTCTCAGCCTGTTCCCTCATATATCAAGTGTTTCGGTAAAAGCTACCTCTCAAGATTTCTGGGAAGACTGGGAACAATGTCTGCAGCAGGCACAATACAAAGACCTGCCAAAGGAAGGTATAACGCAAGCCCATTGGACCAAAGCTCATGCAACAAAGCTCCAGGATCTTGAAGTTCAAGAGTCCTTCAGCCCTTAGAAGGCAGATGATTAGACCAGTAGCCTGGGCGCCTCTAAGCCATGCCAGGCCCACTATCTCTGGGGATGCTGAGCCCGCTCTGCCCTCCTTCGGATGGGCTCTAGAAGGTGCCTACTCCTACCTTCCCAGGGGACAGATCAGAAATTGAAACCCAGAGAGGGTAGATACTCGCTCAAGGACACACAGCGTGGAGGTGGCCCAGTGTCACTGGTACCCGGCCCCATGGCACGACCCTCTGACCATCCAGAAGACTGTGATGTGCTCAAGAGGCTGGGCACTGCAGCCCGAAGACCTGGGCTAGAGTCCTGCTCTGCAACCACTCTGTCGCTCCTTCAACAAACACTGAGTGCCTGGCATGTGCCACCCTGGCCAGTGCAAGGGACACAGGGGGATGAAGTCCACAAAGGCCCAACTCTCTCTCTCTGCTCAAGGTCTGATGGGGAGGCAGCACCCAACCAAGCGATAAATAAACAAGCCAGTCACCTCTGTGAGGAAGCAGCAAGGAACAGACACAGGGAGGGCTCCGAGTGATGGGGCAGTGGGGACTGGAGGGCCATCCGGGGCATTCAGCATGGAACTCTCAGGGAGGGGACATCAGAGCTGGACACCAAGCAGGAGCCAGCCATGTCAAAGGGTGACCAGGCAGAATTGGGTGTGATGAGAAGAGATGAAGCCACGTGAGCAAGGGAACACAGGAGGGATGGGGTCAGGGGGCAGAGGGCAGGTCAGAGCCCAGGCCAGACCAAGAGGCCACAGCAAGGGGCTTGGCCCTTGGCACAGAGCAGCAGGAGCCCCTGGAGGCTCCAAGCAGGCAGATGAAGGGTTCCGACCTGTTGTTTCCAAAGATTCACTCTGGCCACACCTGTTCCTGTGATACTCAGCAGCTCTCTGACCTTGGGCAGGTAGCTTCCACCTCCGAGCCTCAGTCTCCTCATCTGTGAAAGGGGGCAGTAAGACCTGCCTCGCAGGGGTCACTGGAGGCAACAGGGGACAATCCACACAGAGTACTTAGCAAAGCACCCCACACATCATAAGTGCTGGATGAAACACTGCTACGTCATGTCACACATCCAGGAATGCCTCCTCCATCATCACACACAGCCTGGCAGGCCTAGTGCATCTGCCCAGGAAATACTGTGACTTCTGCACTGATCTCAGCCGTGGGGCATTGAGGCCAAAGCTCACCGAGCTCCTGACCATCAACGGTCAGCAGGGGAAGTCAGTGGATCCCAGTGACAGAGGGCAGCCAGGTCCCTTCTCAGTGAGGGCTTGCAGGTGCCTCAGCATCCATTAAAGTCCCAGTTCCATCACCTGGGTTCCTGAGACATACCGCTCATCCCAGTCAGGGGACACAGAGAGGTGGTGAGCAGCAATGACTGACCTGGCCACTCCTGCAGTCAGATTTATTATGGCACAAAGAAGCAATTTTGCTCTTCGTCTATAGAGATCCAGTGTGCCAGGCCTGGGCTGGGAAAGTAGAGGCTTCTACCCACACCTGCTGGGCAGAGCCCTGTGGACCATCCATCCCCTGTGCTTGTGGCCACCTCATCCAAGAGGCCTCTGCCCAACACCTTTCAAAGCCCCTGCAAATCCGCGCCCAGGCCCCAGGGTACAAGCATGAACTTGCATCAAGGGAACCCTCAGGCCTTTGACACCACCCAGGCAGGCATGGAGCAGCCCCAGCTTTGGAGTCAGCCTGAATGAGTCCTGACTACGCCTTATGGTAGCCAAGTGACCTGCAGTGAGGAAACTCGCTCCCTGAACCCGTTTCCTCATCTCTAAAAGAGTAGAAGCCCCAACTTTAAAGAACTGTGGGCCACTTGAACTCGGGGTTCCGCCAGAATCATGGTGGAAACAGCCATGGATTTGTATGCTCACCCTTCACCCACTTGGAGCTCCTCAGGGTGTCGCAGGCACCCCAGCCTCTGAGCCTGGCCCACAGGGCCTTTGGGGCCATTTGAAAAAGAAATAAGCAAATCTTGCAGACCCTTTTCAGCCTCCCCACCAACCAACCAGGGTGCACAGAACCAAGAGGGCCAAGGCTATTGGACTGGGACAGCCACAGAGCTGCTGGTGTGACTCAACATCTCCTCAACTTCTCTGCCACTGTCTACAGGGGTCTGGAGTGAGGCCTGCACTCCAGGAGTGACTCCCAGCTAATGGCTCAGGCTTCATAATACTCCAAAAGTAGGAATATATTAACGCTACTCTAAATGCCTGACTCACTGGGGCTGCTGCTACCTCTCAGACTGTGTCTGGAAATATTTACCGAGTTCAAGGACAAGCAGGCATGGTAGTGCATGTCTGTAATCCCAGCATGCTGGGAGGCTGAGGCAGGAGGATTGCAAATCCAAGCCCAGCCACTGATAAGTAGCCCAGCTACTGATGTAGCAAGATCTCTTTTCAAAATTAAAAAAAAAAAAATGTAAAAGGCCTGAAGATGAAAAAAAAAAAAAGGTTGGGGGCAGGGGATGTAGCCTAG